CAGGTGCATTCAACCCCAGATGCATTCAACTGCAGGTGCATTCAACCCCAGATGCGTTCAACCCCAGATGCGTTCAACCCCAGATGCATTCAACCACAGGTGCATTCAACCCCAGATGCATTCAACCCCAGGTGCATTCAACCCCAGATGCGTTGAACCCCAGATATGTTCAACCACAGATGCATTCAACCCCAGATGCGTTCAACCCCAGATGCATCAACCTCAGATGTATTCATTTAAAGCACAAAAGTGTTTAGATTGTGGGATGAGAGTCTCCCATGCATTGCATCACTTGGGTGGACTGTGTCAAGCTGTGTTTCACCTTGGAAGGAATGATAAACTATTTTGCAGTTTCCTGGAAGAGACACTAGGTTGTTAAAAAAGTGTAAAATATATGCTCAAGGGGATAGTTTGAAAAACCAGGAGAAATCAGGATGGAAGAGATAACATTGAAGGGGACTAGATGGCTACGTGGAAATCAGAAAGGTCTTGCCTGGTTCTTAAAGGCAGACAAAGGTCTGAAAAAGGAAAATATGTGTGGATCAAATTTGACATTGTGGGAGCAAGAACTTTCTAGAAATTAGATCTATAGTCACGTGTTGCATAATAACAGATCCCATGATCATAGGGCTCACACACGGCTCCACTGCCTAGCAATGTCCCCAGATATCCTGGTTTGTGTAAGGACTCTCTGAAACACAGTAAAATTGCCCAATGCGTTGAACTAAAAGCATCTCTGTGATTAGGTGACGTATGAGCACACTGAAGAATGAGAAGAATCAAGGGCAATGGTGAGTCAGGGCCTCTTTCAAGAGGGCCGTCTGGATGGGACAAGCCACCCAGACTGGCCAGCTGCTGGGGGAACACTGCTAGTGCACAGCGGGCAAATGGACTCTCCTCAGATCTCATTCTAGAGACTCAAGAGAAGGGAATAGGCTAAAACTTTCAAGCTTTCTTAGAAACTTTGTGACTTTCGTTTGTTTATGCATGTGAAAATTCTAACCGAACAAATAAAAGTCATGGTAATATTTCTAGTTCACTTTCAATATTTTGTATGTCTTTGTATGACTCCCAGTTTGGGGTCACATTTTCTTCAGCTCAACCCATATCACTACATCTTCCTCTCCTCCCCTTTGTCTACTCTCTCTTCCCTTTCTCCAGTTCCCTTCCACACGGAAAGGAATCTGTGCCTTGGTGGCAGAGTTTCGGAACACATGGAGCAGTGTCGTAGCTGGGCTTCAGAAGTCTCCATTAGGACCTTGTTTAGTCTGAGATAATTCTTCTCTTCTTGTCTCTCCTCTCCTCTCTCCTCTCCAGTTCTCCTCCTCTGGCTAAGTTCGGTTGGACTACATTTGGGTTTAAGAAAGAAAAATTGACAACATGGAAAATACTAAGAATATTTAAAGGAAGGAAAACTAGAACTGCCAGGATGGTTTAGAGGAATGAGTGTTCAAGTTCAACCCAGCTCGTGTTGAAAGTATTCCCTCTCCCCTAAAAGAAAAGAAATAACGAACACCGGATAGACTTAACTCTGTATACGAAGTTCGGTTTACAGTCAGCAGGAAAGAAAGGTAGCTTGTTTTTGAAATGGTGAACTCCTAGAAAGAGCTAGAAGTCCAGCTCAGCCTTCAGACTAGAAAATTAAATTTTCTAAATAAAAACCATAGAAGTAAAGGTATAGATGAACATTTATATAGTCCTTGTGGGAAACACTTTCTTGTCAATCAATCAATTAACTATTGCATATTGATTTTGTGTTATGATGTGTGTGAGAGCTGGCACATGTTTGTCATAGCACCCATGATGATCAAAGGAGGACCTTGGGTGTTGGTCTTGACCTTCTATCTTGTTTGAGACAAGGTCTCTTTTACCGTTTCTGCTGCCTACACAGGCTAGCTGGCCTGAGCTCCTGGGGGTTCTCCCGTCTACAGCTCCCATCCCACCACAGGAGAACTGGGCTACAGGTGAGCGCCCTGTGGCCCCTGGCTTGTGAGTAGACTCTGGGACTTGGAACTCACAGATCCTCATGCTTGTGTGGCAGGTTTCACCCAGTGAGCCATCTCTTCAGCTGAAACTTGTTTTTTAAAAACTTCTTTTTCTCAGGTTGGGTCTGCGATATAGACAAGAATGGTCAGGGATCTATGGTCTCCCTGCTTTGACTGCTTCTGCCTCCGTTTTAAAATTCCCGATGTGTGCTACCTGGTGCAGAAGGAAGTTTCCACTAAAGACCAAATCTGAAGTGAAAGCTACACATATTTAACCAAAAGATGAGATGTTAAAAACTCAGTTTACATGAAGGCAGCTGGCAAATAAAAAAAAAAGGGAAATATTAACTATACTGCTCCCGCTGCGAGCTTAGGCTGGAAGAAGTGGGCACTCATGTTCTGACTCATAGGTGTCAACTGACACCTTTTTTAGAGGTGTATCTAGCAATGTAGCTTACAAACTTTGAAATTTTCGGGTTCTGCCACAAAAGCCCCAATTATGGGCAGGGGTTTCCTCTTTCCCTATATACAAGCACACATAACATATACATTCATACATATATAGTATGTGAGTGTATAGTGTGATATGTTTGTTTGTCTGTCTGTATGGTGTAATACAGATGCATATTTGCCTGTGTAGTGTGATATATATATATATGTGTGTGTGTGTGTTTGTGTGTGTGTGTGTGTGTGTATAGTGTGATATGTATACATGTGTATTTGTCTGTGTAGTGTGAAATGTATGTGTATGTATCTGTCTGTGTAGTGTGATATGCATTTGTGTGTGTCTGTCTGTATACTGTGATATGTATTTGTGTGTGTCTGTATAGTGTGATATGTCTGTCTGTCTGTGTAGTGTGATACGTATGTGTGTGTGTCTGTGTAGTGTGATATATATGTGTATATCTGTCTTGTAGCGTGATTCATATGTATGTGTGTAGTGTGATATGTATGTGTATGTCTGTGTAGTGTGATACATATGTGTGTATGTCTGTGTAGTATGATATGTTTGTGTATGTCTGTCTGTGTAGTGTGATATGTATATGTGTGTGTTTGTGTAGTTCGATATGTATGTGTGTATCTGTGTAGTATGATATGTATGTGTGTATTTATAGTATGATGTGTATAGTGTAGTATAATATGTGTGCATGTGTGTGTCTGTATAGTGTGATATGTATGTGTGTCTGTCTGTATAGTATGATATGTATATGTATGTGCAGTGCGATATGTATGTATGTATAGTGTAATATGTGTGTGTGTGTAGTGTGATATGTATATGCATGGCATGTGCCTGCCATGGTGCATGAGAAGAGATCAGAGGACAACTTACAGGAGTCAGCTCTCATCTTTCACCGCGTGTGATCTGGTGTCTAACTAAGGCCATCAGGATCAGCAGCAATACCCTTGTGCATCCTGCCAGTCTAGGACAGGGCTTTCTAAAAAAGCAAACAGCAATGACAACAAAATGGTCTGTAGGGCGATATTAATTTCTGCAGTAAGAACTAATGCTCCAGCACCACTTAAGATGCTTTGAAACCGGAACCCAAATCGTCATCTAAGAAAGGTGATATCTAAATCAGTCTTGACTTAACCGTGGAATGAGCAGTTGTGCAGGGAGTGCTGAGAGGAAGGAAGTCTGATGTTGTCATGGATGTTCTGCTGAAGTTGTTGGAATAACTGAGCTGTCATTTATGTAGCATCTTTCAGTTAGCTTTTATTTCTGTTCTTTTATTTCGACATTGAGTTTCCCTTATATAGCCCAGGCTGGCCTGTAATTTGCGCTCCTCGAGTGCTGGGATTTCGGGCATGCACCCCCCTCCCAAGCCTCAGCTAAGGTTTAGTAATAAGTTTTGAGTAGAAGTGGAAGTGTGAATTGTGTGGTTAAAGAACCAGAGCAGAACAAGGCTCTAGGGCTCCTTGGTACCTCAGCCATCCTCCTTGGCAGCATCCGAAGCTGACGCAGCTCTGCACTGAGGAACAGTCTCCCACGTGAGCCAGAGAGTAAATAAAACTAGGCACGTTCTGGTGGGTCTGGGCTCTGTGTGGGAAAGACCTGTGGGCAGGCGGGCGGAGAGGGAGGTGGTGGTGGGGGTTGGTGAGGGGTGGGGGAGTTTTGGGGAAGGAATACCTGGAAGTTGCAGTAGCTCTCCCGGCCCTGCTCTGTCAGGTGATTCCCCTTCTCTTCCAGGCCTCTTCTGTGAACTGCTTAGGACACCATCTGTCCCAGCCTCCAGTTCACAGTAAACACATATTCAGACACAAGTGTCTGGAAGTTGGCCAGTGACCCCAGGGCAAATGCTGAAAAGTAGCAGAACTTCCTTAGTGTCCTGTCCCTCCTTTTCCCCAACCCCATATCACAGACGCTCAGACACACACTCACAGCACGTGCACACACACACACACACACACACACACACACACACACACACACACACTTGTACATGGTTATGCGTCTGTATAAAGTCTAGGAACTAGTGACGTGTGCTTTGTGCTCTTGCCCTGCCTGGTCCCTCTTCCTCTCCATGGCTTCTCTTTACCCTCTCTTCTCTATGGTTCCCCTCCCCCACAACCATTGTTCACTTACAGACAGGCCTGAGGCCAACACAATTTGATGGAGAGACTTTTTTTTTTTAAGAAAAAAATAGAAAATTAAGAAATTGAATTTTAAGTGCAGGGTTTTGAAAGCCATCAGGAAGGTGAAGGACCCAAGCTTTGCTTTGTAAGCTTCATGACAAATCTGCCTTCTACAGTGGCTGGGACTTTTGGTACCTACATGAATTCCCTTTCCGTTTTTCTAGCCTATATACTATTCATAAATTATTTGAAGATTGATGTAAATGTTATTCTCCATGACTTTTTTTTTTTTTTTTTGAGACAGGGTCTCACTATGTAGCTCTGGCTGTCACGGAACTCACTACGTAGACCAGGTTGAACTTAAACTCACAGAGGCCCACCTGCCTCTGCAAACGAATGCTGGATTAAAGGCGTATGCCACCCCTCCTGGCTCACAGTGACATTTTTATGCCACTCCTTTCCCTCCATTCAACATTTTATGTAGGAAATGTATGCTTACTGATACACTTAGATACTATAGCTTTTCTAATTGCCCTATAGGATTCTGTTTTGTGAATCCCAGAATTTACCCATTCTCTTGTTTCGGTTTTCCAATAAAAACAGTAGTTGGTAAGACAGGCGCAGACTACAAATCCACAGATGGACACACATGCCCACGACACAGCAGGGAAGTCGGCTTCATTTTGTTGTAAGACTAGAATAAAACTAGGTCAGCCAAACACAAGCCTTAAAAACTCCCACAAACATCCCGGTTCTGATGAATTCCAAACCTAATCCTGAAGGTTCAGGTGGTAAAAACCCAAGCCTTGCGGAAACTGGAGTCTGATCCCCAGAACCCACAGAGAAAAAATAAACATGGTGGTGCATGCTTGGAATCGCAGCGTGTGCTGGGGCAGCAGCATGTGAGAGACTGAGGCAGGGGGATCAAGAGTTTGAGGTTAGCCCGGTGCATATAGGGTTTCAGGACAACCTGGGTTATATAAGGTTCAATTTCAAGAAAGAACGGGATGATAATTTGGGCTTCTTCACGCACATGGTACCCTCAGGTGGAAATTTAAATTAGAGGCCACAGGAAGAAGCAGCGAAGGTGTTTACTGGCATGCTGTTTGGGGTAATGAGAAACTGCAACCGTATATTACACCTCTTTGGGTTTGTTTTTGTTTGGTTTTTCAAGACAGGGTTTCTGTATGTAGCCTCGGCTGCCTTGGAACTCCTCTGTAGACCAGGCTGCCTTCAAATTCACAAAGATCTGCCTGATTCTACCTCCTGAGTGCTGGGATTAAAGGTGTGCACCACCACTGCCTGGTATGTGCTAGCCATTTAATGCCTGGTTCCCCCATGGAACTGTGGGTTCTGGGAGGGAAAACCTGCTGGTATTTCTAAGGCCGGCGATGCAGAAGCAAGTGGGAAATACAGAAAGGAAAATAGGAAATTTAATCTATCCCAGCTACTAGTCAAGTAAAATGTGGTATAGTTATAGAATGGAATACTAGATCACATACAGAAGACAGGTATAATTACTTATATACAATTTAAAGTTCTTGCAAGAACTATACCTAGATTCTCAGGGTGGTTAATCTAGTGGGTGGAGGAGGACTTGGAATTATGGATAATTTAGTTCTGGGAATAAATGTATATTTTTTAAAGGTGCATACATTTATGTGTGACTTGCTCAGTTAAAAATATCTTAATATAAAAAGCCAGAAGAAAGAACATTTATAGACCTAGTTCTTGAGAATAAAATAACCAACGATTTTTCATCGTGTTCTTTTTCTTGTAAACATTTTCTAGACTGCCCACAGTGTTTTGTCTATCACATTTGCAATAATAAAAAACAGTTCTGTTTGAGAAGATTACTAAACATTTCAAACATTCTCAGAAAGTTAGATGGAGATCACCCTAACTCTTTCTACCTTGCTACTGCTGCTTAGTCTACAGAACTGTGTTTGCAAGTGGTGGCTAGTTTTGCTGCGACATTACACAAGGCCCCAACATTTGGAAATACAGGGAGGGAAAAAAAGATCCCAAGCTTCACTTAGCCAAGGCTAGCCCAGAGCCTGCAGGTAATGTTCCACTTCTTTAGGGCCTACCAACCAGCACATTCCAAAGATTCCACTTTGGAATGTAGGAGATTGAACTCCAGCTGAACGAACCCACATTCTGGCAGTGGTTCCTCTCAGGAAACAATGTTTTATCCTTAGTCGGTATCCTATTTCAGGGATTTGGGAGCAGAAACCGTCTCAGAGCTCCCTTCCAGTTCTCCTTAGCAGGACAAGTGTTCACTCCTCAGGACGGGTGGGTGACCAGTGTCTGCCCCTGGCTTCTCCTGCCTTCTCTCCATACCAGAGTGGGCTCAAAATGTAACCCCGTGGAATTGTTCATGAGGTAGCCAGAGGAAGGATTCATGCCAGGACCCCCAAGATGAAAGAACTCACTTTTCACGTAGCTGTTTCAGTTTCCTTTTTCAGTTCCTTTTCCTTTCTTTCCCCTCCCCTTTCTTCTCTTATTCTCCCCTCCCTACTCCCCTCTATCCCTCCTCCCTTCCTCCTTCCTTCCTTTCCTTTCTCTTGCCCCTTTCTGATTTTCAGGGATGTCAGGCTTCAAGTCCAGCAAGTAGTTAAAAGGTAGAAAGCAAAGAACAGCCTCCTTCCTTGCTGAACTGTGCCTTCCGTGTGCTGGGAAGCTTTCCTGTTGGCACAGGGATCTTGCCACACAGAATGAACTGTCTATAAGAGGATGATCCTACAAGGATGCAGCAGACAGGACCTGTTATGAAGCTGTGAGGTTGCAGGCAAGAATACGTATAAATGACCATTAACAGTCTTCTTAAGTCATGATGGGTATCTGTATTCACAGGTACCAAAGGCCCAGAGAGATTGTCCAGGGCCTCTGATCTCTGCTGCTCAGTCAGCCAAATCAGAAGACAAGGAATCCAGAGCAGGAGGTAAATAAAACTCTTCTTCCTGTATGTCACTCAGGCAGTCACTGAGAAAGGTGATTCATAAGAATCCCAAGCCTCCGAGTCCAGGGAGTTCCAGCTCCCTGGATGGTGTCAGGTGGGGGTGGAGGAGAACTAAAAAACCATACATGATGCAAACACCACATGTGCTCTGGAAGGAGAGTCTCATCCTGAAGAGTGCAGGCCTTGGCAGTTGCTCCAATGAGTTTGGCCAACATAGGCTTAGAACTAAGTACAAAAAAGGACTACAAGGAAGGAGACTCCAGGACTAGGCAAGGGTGTGACGCTTTGTCCTTCCGGAGTCCCTGGAGTCCAATCTGACCATAGGTTCATATCAGTGATGTTCCTGACCATTATCTGTAGAGGCAGCTTGTGCAGGATTGGAGGTTAACCTTGTGTCTTTCCAAAGGCCTGATCCCAGCGGAGGGCATCTGATCAGCCCAACTGACCCTCTGGGCTGCCGTTCAGTCTAGGACTATATGCTGTAGTAGACTTGAGACATCCATAGCCTTGGCAGTGGCTGGGTGAGGTGGTGGGGACACTGTGTGACCAGTGACCTAGGACAGGAATGTGGTCCAGAGAGACGGAGGCACTTGTCTAAGGCTTGAGCATCCCATGAGTCTGAGGCAGCACTGTTTTATTTCCACCCCACTGCGTTTCCTTAGAGACGCTCTAGAGGACTAGATGCAGGGAGCTAACACATCTCCCGGAGACATATTAAGAGCAAGTCCTGTGGCCACCACTCAGTGCCTTCAGTTAGCCACAGGGAGAGGCACTTAGCTCGATGCCCTTGAAGCCAAAGACACAAGGTTAACATTCACAATAATCAAAACATATCTAAGAAATAATCCTTCCCTCTTTCTTTTCCCTTTCTAGGCTAGCCCCCCTCCCTGCCACTGCCTGCTCTGCTCCCAGCTCTGCAATGGGTGTGTCCCACCGACCAGCCCCTCCCTGCTTATCCTGGTGCACCTGCCACATCTTGCTTCACACGTGTGTCTCTGGCCCGAGAGCAGACCCCACCCTCTTGCTAATCAAGCAGCAAGGATGAGCAAGTTCATGGGAGATAACTGTGGCTGGGCTCTCACTAGAGGAGTACCAACCTCCTGGGTTATTCACTCTGGCGTGTGAGCATTTGATGGACAGTCCAGCAGCTCCCTCACTGTGCCCACAAAGGACCCTTTTCAGAGCTTTGGTGGGTTGAGCTGGGTACTGCCAGCCAGAATTAAGCTGAAAGATGAAACCTCTGAACCCAGCTGGGCTCCTGTCCCTTCACTGCCCAGAGTCTTAGGGAGATTTGTCCCCTGGGTTTCAGTGCACCCACCTGCCTCTAGGCAGGTTCTCACCTGGATCTGGGCAGCCAGGCTGGGTTACCGTACTGTTACTGGTGGCTCTCTTGGTCCTCCATCCAAGTTGTACACAACAAAAACACACACAAAAAAGCCTCTCACTCGTAACTACTGCTGTTTGGTACCCACAGCAGAAGCTCCCTTCAGCCTGCAGCAACCTACTTACTTTTTAAAGAATGTTTCATTTTATCTCATGTGTATGGGTGTTTGCTTGCATGTATGTTTATGTATCACTTGTGTGCCTAGGTCTGGTACCCACAGAGACTAGAAGAGGGCATAGGATTCCCTGGAACTAGAGTTACAGACAGTTGTGTGCTTCCACATGGGTTCTGAAAATCAAACCTGGATCCTCTAGAAGAACAGCTAATGCGTTTAACCTCTGACCCATCTTTTCAACCCCCTACTTCATTATTTTTAAAGACAGCCTTGATGTTTAGGAGGATTGGAAACAGTTGCTATTTAAATTTGTCTAAGCAACTCAGGCCCTACACTTTGAGGGTGCTCAGATACTATTTGTTAAATGAATAAACCTCTCTTGGGCATTGCCTAAAATGGCTACTTCATTCTGGATAGTGCTCACAAACTTCGGTGACCAGTAACACACATACAGAATGGGCTGCAGACTTCTCTGCTCAGAAGCCTGTTTTGGTGGGTGCACTGAGGAGACTTCGATTTCCACAGACCTGGTTTGTGCCCCAGATTTACAGAAGGGACTAGAAGGCAAGGCCAGGTCTGAGTTCACCAAGAGAAATGAGAATCTAGAATGTGATGACCATGGTGTTGATGACTCTTTGACAGGGTCTTTCTATATAACCTAGGGTGACTGTGAACTCCCACCTTTCTTGTCTTAATCTAATATGATGTGATATTTGGTGATAAAATACATAAAGCAAACTCTCACTTTTGTATTTGTAAGTGTATGGCAATGACACTAAGTCTGTGTACGTTATGATACAACCACTCCCTCTGCCATCTCCAGAACATTTCTGTCACATCAAACTAAAACCAAACCAGATACCAATTTCCCCTCTCTTCTCAGGCTCTGAGCACCACAATTGTTTCCATGTCTCAGACTCTTCTAGGTACCTCACATAAGTAGACTCATATAGCATTTGTTCCTTTTCTTAATGTTATTCATAACTAGTATGTATGTGTGCATTATGTGGATATAGGGGGGGTCCATGTGCCAGGGACAACATGCAAAGGTCAGAGGACAGCTGACCTCTTGGTTTTTCTCTTTCCACATTTAGGTAGGTGCCTGGAACCGAACTCAGGTTGCCAAACTTGTGGAGCAGGCCCCTTTATCTGCTTGTCCATCTTGCCAGCCCCATTTGGTCTTTTTTGAATTCCTTATTTTACTTATCACGATGCCCTCAAGGTTCTTCCACGGTGCAACGTGCGTCAGAGTGTCCTTTCTTTGTAAGGCTGAGTCATCTTCCTTGGGATGTACAGTCCACAATCTATCCATTTATCTTGGGTGGACTCCTCAGTTTTGAATGCTGCCCTGGGTTCCCCTGCACCGTGAGCTGGGCTTTCTTCCTATGACTCACATCCAGTGCTCATCTCTGCCTTAGGGACCCCAGAGCTTCAGAGCCGATGACTCCCCTAAGGAATCACTAGATTTGAAGAGAGGGCCTGAGTTCCCACACCACCCTTCGAAGGCCAGAAGTTGCGCTGCTGAGTGTTTCATAACTTCCAGATGATTTGTCTTTGTCCCTTGACTGTTTAGGCTGATGTCAACACGCTTATCTCCTTCTGAGAAGAAACCAACCTAAGTGGAGTTGGTCTGTACCAGCTCTGGGTACAACGTCTATTATCTGGACGCTTCACTCGTGTAGTACAGCAATAAATGCCTTTTTTGGCTATATAACATTGTTTCAGTCATCAGACTTTTTATTGGGTGTCTAATAAAGGTAATCAATGCGTTATCTTGGAATTTGACCTCTGGATCTAGATTTCCTGGGTCAGGATCTAAGTTACACCCTTAATCTTAACCTGTACCATTCTGCAGGTTTCTTCACTTCTCAGGGCTTCCGGCTCCTTATCTGACCCACCTCATGGAGTTGTTGTGAAGATTAAATGAACTGGTGTGCTGAAAACACAAGAGGGCTTAGCCTTTCATAAATGTGCTACTTCACTGTCCAGGTGCTGGGAATGGCAGCCAGCCAGGCTGACCAGCAATAGACCCTTTGTGGTTTGCAGTCTACTGAAATGGCTAGACTGGTAAGCCATTACATGACAGCTTGGATTTATGCATAGGCAAATGTGTAATTAAAAGGTGTATTTTTATACAAAGACTAACCTCCGTCAATTATCCTTCAGCAAATCTTTGGATCAGAGAAGTACAGGGCCACAGCAAAGCATGAACATGGAGCCCCTGGCTTTTTCTCATTTACTTGCTCATCTGTTTATTAAAAATAAGCACTTGTCAGATTCCTACAGTGTATAGATTTTAGAGAAGGTCAGTACTAAAAAACAAAGGATCTTTTCCCCCAAGAAGATAACATTTTAGGGACGTGTGTGAGGTGGGGAGACAGACAACATATGTGTGTGTGTGTGTATGCTTGTGTAATGTATGCATGCATAAGTGTACTGTGGGGGAAAAGGGGGTGCATATGCCCAGGTATATGTGTATGAAGGTCAAAGGTTGATGTCAGATTTCCTCTTTCATCACTATTCTTCTTAGTTTTTTTGAGGCTGAGTCTCTCACTGATCCTGAAACTCCCTGATTGGCTAGGCCGGCTATCAAACTCTTGTGATCCTCCTGTTTCTGCCCCTACCATGCTTTCAGGGCTAGCAATTTACTCAGTAGGGATCTTTTTCAGTCCTGGAAGGCATTCTGTTGAGGTCAAGTTGTCTTGTTTCTTGACAGACAGGGTGAGTGTTTTGTGTGAATGACCTGAGACTGAAGGATGATTCCAGAGTTTTTGTTTGAGCTACTAGTAGCAAACCTTGGGGGTTGGGGGTGGCTTCCTAGGGAAGTCTACTTCTGTATGAGAACTGGAAGGGGGATCAGCATCCATCTAGTTGAAGAAAAGCAGGAACCGTGTCCTAATGTCACAAAGACAATGAGAGAGACATCTGAACTCCCACCAGTTCACAAGTACTCTGGCCTGCCTAACACATTCTTTATGTTTAGAATTTAAGGGGAATGTCTTATATATTCAAAAAGTATTTATTATGCTTTTAGGTAGGTGTGTGTATGTGCATGCTCATACAGGTGGATGTGTGTGCCTGTGCATGGGGAGGCCAGAGGACAACCCTGGGTATTGCTCCTCAGGTGTTACCCACCTTTTTTTGAGGCAGGGTCTCTCTTGAGCCTGGAGCTCACTGATTGTTCTAGATTTGCTAGCCCGAGAACCCCCAGGGAGCTCCCTGTCTCGGCTTCCCTACCACCGGGGTGACAAGCACACACCACTAGCCTGTAATTTTCACATGGTTTCTGAGAATCAAATCCAGAAGTTCCTGCTTGCAAGGCAGGCCTTTACTAACTGAACTGTTTACTGAGTCTGGACATCTCCAGTTGTTAAATATTTAGAGTCTTTTAACATCCCAAGAAGCATTGTAACATCTACTGAGAGGCAGGTGAGTCCGAAGTCTGTGGTGCTTTTCAATAGTTGATTTAAAAAAGTGGAACAGAAACTGGTCCAGGAGAGAGTCCTGTGTCACCCTTCTCCTGCTCACAGTACCACCCTTAGTCAACAGCCATTGGGTGCATATACACATGGATCCAACCCATTTATTTGGCTTGAATGTCCCCAGCATACTCTTTAATAACAGTTCATAAGAGGGAATGCAATCAACGATATCAAAGGCCTTGAAAGCTCGAGAGACCCAGGGACTACGTGGGCAAAGCTGCTTTCTTGGGACAAACGGTGACTTAAAGGACAAGGAGGTGCAACGCTGAAAGAACTTTTCAGCACGTCTCCCTGCTTCCACGGATAGCAGATAGTGTTCTTCCACATAAGCAGGTCCACGGTGTCTTGAGTGATAGGTCCATGCCCTTTGATAAGTCAAGAGCGCATTACTGATGGGTTCAGATTAGCAGTTGTGGGTCATACACACGTTCAGCTTCAGCAGATACTGCCAGACTGTCTTCCGAACTGACTGTATAATACTAATGCTGGTTAGTTTAAAGCAACAGACTGAAAATGCTGTCTGTGTTCACGGCCTGCCCTGATTTTTGATAAATGGTCCCTCGTAGGCAGATTTCCAGGGGAGAGCTGGGGCCGTGTTCTGCTTCTTAGACCAGCTGGGTGAATTTGGGCTACATTTTAGAGAATGTATGTATCACATTAAGGGGACCCCTGTAATTGGCAAAGCCAAATTAGAGCTGGACAGGTTAGGTGGAGCTGGAGCTTTAACAGAGGGGAAACGTCCTGTCCAGTTGGTTGAAGCACAGCCCCTTGGGAACCTCGAATATTAGATCCTCCCACCAGCACAGTGGGTCATTTAGGACGCCTGAGGCTAAGACTCCTGACAGTCTTCCTTACGCTAGGCTTATCTTCCTCCTTCTGTTCCTCTCACCCACTTTCATCTCTCTCTTCTTTTACGTTTTTGCAAGTAAGCAAGGTTTTCTGAGCATCAGAGGAACAGCTACTTGGAGCATGGAAGGAATGTGAAAAGGGGTGGCCCTTTTTGTTTTGGAAAAATTATTTTTTAAAGCTATCTCTCTCTCTCGTGTGTTTGTGTTGTGTGTGTGCGTGCACACACATGGAGAGCAGAAGAAGGTGCCACCCTTGGTGTGTAGGTGTTGGGAATTGAGGGTCCTCACACTCTTTGCCCCCAACCATCTCTCCACTACCACCCTTTTTTATTTTCTTTAGTTTTCTTTTCTTTTTTCCTTCCTTCCTTCCTTCCTTCCTTCCTTCCTTCCTTCCTTCCTTTCTTCTTTCCTTCCCTCCCTCCCTCCTTCCCTCCCTTCCTCCTTCCTTCCTTTTTCTTTTTTTTGTGATAGACTCTCACTGTAATTCATGCTGGCATGGAACTCACTATATTTCTTTCACCATATTAACTCACTATATTTATTTATGAGCCTTAGACTTGTAGCAAGTCCCCTGCTTCAGCCTCCTGAGTGCTGGGATTATGGGTATTCACGACTATTCTCTTCTGTGCTCCATTTCTGAAGGAACTACAGATATGGTGACCCATGGTTACCCTTTGTCTCCATCACCCGGGAGTCTCTGGTGTTGACCCTGCTTTGCTAGGAGGTGACACAGGGTTCCTTTGCACGATCTTCTCCTGTGGATTCACGACTGCTCTGCCACAGTCCTCCACCAGCAGCTGAAAGTCGGGAGAGACACATTCCACACCAATAGAAGCTGCTAACAGAGGCTAGCAGCCTGAAATTCACAGGGACAGTTGTAGGGGCTGGTGTTCCCGATCCAGGGCAGCTCTTGGAAGCAAAGGTGTTTCTTTACTTAATCCTGGTGTGTCTCCAAACACAGAAAGTCTCCTGACTTTCCTGCCACCCCCTCTTCGTTCTCCTAAAGTACACCCTTCTTTACTCAGTTGTCTGTCTGAGGCATTGGAAATGGGGCACCCATGCTGCCTGGACGGATGTAATTACTGATTATCTTAGTCATGGTGTAGAGTCTCTGTGTAAATCATCTGGGGGAAGTCAGTCAACATGGCTGCACTCTAATGTGCTGTGTCAGATGAGTTTGCCTGGAGTGGGTTATAAGTAACTGATTTCTTAATATCTGAGATATGACTAATGACAGCAATAAATGTATCTTATCAGCCTCAGAGTTTATTACAGAGGTGAGAATATTGACCAGGTGGGAGTGGCTCATGTCTATAATTTCAGCACTTGGAAAACTTAGGCAGGAGGGTTACAGCAACCTCGAAGCCACCCTGGATTACATAATAAGTTCAAGGCTAATTTGG